AGAGATGGACATTGGTCGCGCTAACAGCAAGTATCATTATTTTTTCGCGATTATGTCGTGAAAGAAATTTTTCGAAGGTGACCACATATTTATCATACCTGCTGCTAAGTCGATTACTAGAATAGTTTTCACACAGAATGTACATGAAACGCCAACCTATGGAGAGAGATGTAATCGTTAATAGAGTCGTCGTCTATGAGATATTGTTCGTTTTATTATCTCATTTTAATACTCAGTTGTTAAATGAATAAAGAAACTCGTAAGCAATGTTAATTAAAAATTGTTCTAATAATAAACAGATCTAACTGGAAATTTTGAGCATTACACTATGCTGAGCATAATATTTAAAGTCGTCTGGAATCTTACATTTTACAAATTCAACCGCGAAACAGAATGATCTGGATCATTCGTTGTGTATGTGTGAATGAGGTTGTCTGCATGAGTAAGGATCTTCTATATACTCTCACAGATACTGTTACACTGCCGATGCTGTTGTACTTGCTTCCAATGATGCTGTATTCGTAATTTGGAACTTGCGATTTTGATACGATTCCAGTTCTAAAAAAGTCGATTTCGCTTACGTCTAGGAAAGCGAGAGAGTGAGACAAGAAAGATTTATGATTCGGCAGTACATTTCAGATTGCATGAAATGGACTATTCATTATACATATTTCTTTTTTCTTTTTGATGCTAAGAAAACTTCCTTTTCTTAGTATACTTCTTTATCAAATACGGCTTTTTTTTAGTGTGAGTACAGTGCACTCAAAAAGTAGTGATATATAAAAACTGTCCGAAACAGTCACTGAGATCAAAATTTATTAGCCAAACATAGGTAACATCTCAGTCGTATGAATAATTTGCAACTCACTCATATACAAATTACTCTAAGAACATGAATTTTTAGTTCGTCCATTGTGTTGAATAAAAAAAAAGAATTCAATTAAAGTTCATGGTTTTTACTTTCGTTGTTTCAAAGAAAAGACCATTCATATGCAAATAAATTCAATAAGTGTTTCATTGAATAAAGGATAAGACTCTGCAAAACTTCGCTTCTTTCTTATTCGATAATTAATAAAATGCGTAATACGAGAATTATCAGCTATCTTTAAAATGATCATCAATTACCGTCCTTTTGACATATCAATGGTCGTTAGTGTTTATTTGTTAAGATATGGTATGAATCGTTAATATTTAAAATATTGATAAGATTTCAGGGCATGAGTCAACATATTTCAACAAATTAGAAATAAAAGCTGTTACTGAAATCTTTGCGAGATTAAAGTATATAGTATAATGTAGTTGTTATTGCTAATCACAAGAAGATTGTTGGCTTGTATGTATTTTGAAATACATTTCTGCACTGTCCTTTTATCCAATCGTCCAGAAATACAACATGAAAATAATTCATATTATAAAACGAGACATTATTAACATACAGTCTTTGATCATATATTGATCACGTCTGTCACAAGCTGGAAGGAGATTCAAACTTTTATCTCTATATTTCAACATTCCTTTGAGATCGTGTTTCACAATACACATTCTATGAAAAATCATGTTATCTTTCAGTCAATAAGTGTTCAACATTATACTTCTCGAATACAAAGTAAAATGATCGTATCAATTTAATGTTGAGTAAAAGTTTTCAGTAAATTATACACCGATGAATTTTCAAGTAAATTTTTCTTTACAGTTTTTACATAATACATATCATCCTTGATTATACTTGATATTTACTATTAGTTACTAGTGTTACTATTGAAATATGAAAACAGCAAAAATTTTAACACTGTTCGACATTTACGGATGTCGTACTTTACTTTATTATTCTTTTTTTATTTTCAAATTTCTAATACATTGAAAACAAGTTAGTATATATATTTGAGTAACATATCTTCTTCACGTGAAGTTTCTCGTAATTCAGCAAAGCTTAAATTTTTACTTCATCTAAAATCAAATATATTTATCAAAAAACAAAAAATCATCAGCATCATTATGCTAAAAAATATATTTCCAAATATTTATTCATCCTACGAAAAGTGGAACAACGAGTTTGTAAGAGCATCAAATAAAATTTATCAAATTCGTGTGTTGTTCTTCTTCTATAATAATCGATCAATGGAGTACTTAATCATCGACATAATCTATTCTAGCACAACATGGATTCAAAATTCATTCAAAAGCATGTTCATAATATGAAACAACTATGTCTACAATTAGTTTGCGAGAATTTTCATTGTTGTTTTCGATATTAAGTTAGAGTCGCAATATTGAATAAAAACATGAAGTACATCGATAATAAGATGACTGAGAAGTTTACTACAAGCTTCTATTAGTTGAATTTTTAAAAATATTTAATATTTATTCTGTATTCATTTCTGATTCGAAACAGTGCTAAGATTCATCATCTCTTTTGGTTATGAATGTAATGATTATAATATTTGTTGACGTTTTTTTTTTAGACAAAGAACTTTTTCAACGAACTTCGACAACAATAAGGAGCTATGAAAGTTAAATGTGTTTTGAAATATATTCATTGTGAATTATTGTTCTGATGAAACGTATGACTACATTTAATCATTTATTAAATGTTTCGATTTTAATTCAATAGATTTCATGACAAACATCTTATTAGTCAGCATCAGTTGGAAGAGTTGAAACATATTGCAAAACCCAATCACGGAAATATGAAGTACGAGTATAAACACCACCATTACCACATCCGAAACCCTATATTTAATGAATGAATATTATTTAGATATAGATGAAACAAAAACATACCCATGATGTCAAACCAATCAAATACCAACGACCATTTGGATGCTGAACAACTAATGGACCACCTGAATCACCTTGACATGTATCTTTGCCTTCGCCATGTCTACCAGCACAAACTTGACGTGCTGGATCTATCATATCTGTCTCATATTTTGCTTTACATTCATCATCAGTTAAAACTGGCATTTCAACTTCCATATGAACGGTAGCAAGACTTCCACCAGAATATAGTGTACCCCATCCGGCACCTACTGATATTTGATTTTCATAAGTAGCATCTTTGTCAGGAAAACAGGCAGGTAGTACGTAATTGTCAAAGTTTATATCCGTATTCTAAAAAATTTTCTTTCTCTTTCAACATACCATTAATAAGAAAAAAGACAACTACTAACACTAATTTGAAAAAGGGCGATGTCATTTGAAATATTTCTTGAATTATAGCCTGAATGTACAACATACTTAATCGATGTATATTCTCTGCTCCATTCATCCTATAAATTCCATTTTTATTAACTATATAGTTATTTACATATATTCTTACGAATGTGGTTCGTTCATGTAGACCACAATGCCATTTGTATGAACTTGCAGCCAAACTAGTACTTCTGTAACATTTTCAATTAAAATAAATAATGATTAGAATTTATTCATCACATTTTGTACTTACACACAATGTGCTGCAGTAATGATCCATTGACCATTAATAAGTGAGCCACCACAAACGTGACTTGTGGGTCTACGCATAGAGCACTATTAATATAAATAAATTATGAACATATAAGAAAACTAAAAAGACAATGAACACTTACCGACCATGGCCAATCACCACGTACGGATGGGTTACCACCAACAACTTTATCATCATCACTACGAGCTATTAATGGACGTCTGCCACAATGATTCTTACTCCAATCTTGAGAACTTGCAAGACCTATTTTTTGTTATTTACGAATCGATTTAATAAAAAAATATTTCTGCATGAAATAATAAACTTACCAACGAAAATACAGAGAAGTGCTGTAACAAGCATTATTGTCTTATTCGTCAATACTATTGGAGATACTAGCATGAAACAAAAGCCATTTATTCTTCGCGAAATTTCTGTTTTTTCTTTCAAGTTTTCTAATCAGTATCATGAGAGGGATGCGTGAGTGTGAGAATAAGATCAGATGTTCTGTTTTTTCTATTTGTATGTTTTTTCTTATGGAATACTCTCGTGATGATATTGCATTTTAAAATGTATGATTGTTGCTAATATGATCCTGATTTTGTTATTACTAGCAAGGACGAACTTTTTTTCAAGATGTCAAAATTCGCATGGAATGACGTCAATATTCTTTAGAGAAATGATTTTTAATTTTTTTATTGAATAAGACAAAATATTTTTATGTAATGATATCAATGCATGTTTTATTCTAAAGATACTTGAAACGAGCGAGTTCTCTAATTGATTAATTGCTTTTGAGTCGACACTATGTGCAATTTATATACTTAAATAAGCTATGAATAGGCTGAAAAGAGTTCAAACTTTTAGCTTATTCCTGTGAAGATGCTACACATTTTAAATGGTTTTTAAATGAGTGTCGTTGTAATCGCAAAATTAATTTTCGAATTTCGATTTGTAACTTTGAATAGAAACAGACTTTTATAAGAATAGTTTATTATGAATGTTATAGATCTTGTTGCTGTTTCTGTATTACGATGCAATTATAGTAATAGCGCCTCCTTCGCATTGCTCGTTTAAACCAGCAGCTTTGATGTTCTTATTTTAGGACAGACGAAATTTAAAAGACTTGGAACATTCACGAAAAAATCCTACTCTAATTAACACCTGGTTGTATATGAAAATTCAAGTCGAAAGTCTAAAATAAGTTTTCCTATTGTTCCTAAGAGAGACTATAGCATTCGTTGAAAAAAACCGTAAAAATGTAATATTTCCGGCACAATAAGCTAAGGGCACAAATTTTTGTTGAAGTATTCATATTTGATTTATGTCTACATATTTCACATAATGTCGACTAAAAAGCAATTTGTCATTTAGAGGATTTTCTTCTTAAGTCAATGAATTGTCATTGAATTATTAAAAAAAAACTGAATGATTATTTGTTCAATAAATCAACATTTAAAAGATATTGGATGGAATGATATTTCCATTAGTTTTTGTTAAGTATATTTAATATGAATAGTTGAAGATATGTAAGTATTCTATCGTAAAAGGAACCATTCTTCGAAGTCTTTGCAGACAATAAATAACAACAAATAATTATTTTATATCAAATTATATATGTTATGATTCTCTTGAATTTAATCTCGAGTAATATTTATATTAAAAGTTTTTTTTTCACTACAAGTAATAATTGGTTGATAATTTTGATTTGTTTTTATATAATAAACTTCTTATTTCAATAGACAGACATGATTATATGAAATTATTTATTTAGAAAATCTTTCTATTTCTATATTGAATATTAAATATCAAAAAAATCCATCGATCAATTGTTAATTGATAATACAAAAAAAAATTTCGTTCAGTTTTATTTAGTGGCTACAAAATTAAAATATAATAGTGTCATTGGATAAGATTAATATTTCACTTGTAATGAAAACATAATTCTAGTTGATTAGCTCAGATGTCTGAACTCAAATTCTTATGTCATTTCAATCGTGTATTTAATAAAAATAGGATTTTTTCTTATAACTTAATACTATTTATTCAATAATGATAATCAGTTTTTTGTTTTAGGTCTATTTATTTACTGAAAACAAGAATTAAAGTTTACAGACAATATAGTAGATTAGAGACTTTTGTTCAGATGAGCTATCAGTAAAAAAACTAGCGTTAATCGACATCGTCCTTCACTGCATATATTTCAATTTGAAAAGACTCAAAATTAGGACAGTATTTTCTAAAGTAATCAACATATTCTGTAGGAAACTCCTAATTCTAGGAATTCAATCCAAAGTTTATTGTGAGCATGCCTAGAGTTTTCAAAAAAATATCAATTTACTTTTTGTTAGTTACACGACAGAGTACGAATATATAAACGAAAATTACTCTTATTCCTGAATGAGAAATACAAAACCAATTTCAAACAGTAAAAAAAGTCTTTCTTCAGAATCTCTAGATGATCACAATAGAAAATTTTTTTTTTTATGTAGTTGATAGGATCCTTAGAAACTGATTTTTTAGAGGAATTTTATTGGAGCCTGATCTTTCTAAAGATTTTACTATAACGACAGTTCTTGCCGTAGAGCCTATCCGGAAGCTTTGGGGATTTTTTTTTCTCCTATGGTTAGACAGATATTCGCTAATTACTGTTTAATTAATATTCAATTGAAAGAGCCAAGATTTTAACATCTATCTGTACTTAAAGAACTTATTGAGAAAAGTAATTCTGGTAAACAATCAAAGTTAAATGGACAGTGAATATTTCTCGTTCTGCTTGAAATAGTCAGCATATAATTTTTTATAAATACCTATTTTGTTTACAAACTAGATTTTATAACCCCTTTTGAAAATATAACTGAAACAATATAAAAAAGTGTATTCAAATTAACTAAACACTTCTACATGTTTAAAAAGAGAAAGAAAAAAAAGCCATTTTGCTATTTAAGAAAACAATAATGACGATGCACCGTCTACCGTATCAATGGTGGTATTATTCATTAGTGTGTAGATACATTGTTTTATCATCATCGTTGCATCTCTATTTTCATCCAGTTGTTAGATCGACATACTAAAAAAGAAACAATTTATTTATCCTGATATTACTATAATGAAATAGGTAGTATTAGACTATGGATACCTATAGTTTATAATAAGACTTCAATAGTCAATCAAATAGTTTTTAAATATACTTTTTATAACAATAAAAACTCTTTTAATGACAATGATTTTCATGTTGTATATTTTTCCAAGTTTCCTAATCATATGTTTAATCTTAGAGAATTCTACAGAAACAAACAACTCTTAAGATATAAGACAACTTGATAGTCAACGAACTTTATATATTCTCTTTAGCTTCTAATTCATACATGTGTTCAAATACAACCATAGGGCAATCTATAAAGGGCGTCCAGATAAAAATCGCATTTTTTGACGGTTTTCCTTATCACCTCTGTTCAGGTTTGTCCATTTTCATTGATTTCCTTCCCTCTCCTGTGTGTCCAACATAAATAGCATATCAAAAATAGAAATGAATCAACATATATTTCATGAATAAAACAAAAATCTAACCTATTGCACAATTTTTATTATTTAAACATTTTATTTTGTTAGAAGCAGAAATTAGGCAAAATATAGAAATGAAGTTCAATACCAATGGCCGTCAACAACCCAACAACGTTCGTATTACTGCTCGAGCAAATAACTATCTACTCATGCAGCTGAATCTTCATTTATATCAACATCCTATTCCATTGAAGTTTGTCTTTTTATTTCTTGTTCTTTCAATGATTATAATTCTTCTAGACTAACATAAGAAATATCAAAATTTTTACTGTTTAAAAGTATTTCACAATCGTTTCGATATTGTCAATCATACATGTAATACAGATGAAAAAATATCATCAATATGATAGACTATACCAACGAACATACGCTGGCGCTAATAACTTCAACAAATCATTCGTTAAGCTGATCTATTAAGTTCATTAGTATTTATATTATTGTTTTGCATCGTATGAAAGTAACAAAGATGTCTGAATGAACTGAGCTGGCCCGAAGAAAGTCGGTCCAGTGCAAAGATTTTTCTTACAAAATGGTATACCCGTAAACTATTCATTTAATTGTATTAGATACATTTGTAACACATGAATTAGGAAAGATACTTTGAGTACGAATAATTGATGTATAAACAATTCATTCAGTAACATATTCGACAACTTACAAAATCTTCAACTTTCACAAATACACTAAAATTTCTTGATTTTGTGAAGCGAAATCTAAAAACAGTGATGAAATATAGAGGTAGGAATTCGGATGCGCTTCCTTCGCTACAACACGCTTTAGAAATGCTTACGCTCCTGAATCTCTTGAAATGTTCGAAAAAAATTTATCGAAAATATATAACATCTTATTAAACTTATATTTTGGATTCGAAATTCGACACATGGGCATCCATCGCAATATTGAAATCACTCCGGAGCAGTCCATGAGCTAATCTAGACTTTCGTATGATAATATGAAAATGTTTATAGAGAAAATATGTGATAACGCAAATTTAAGCAAATATATTAGATAGCATGAACTGTTTGTTTTTCTTAATATCTCTCCTCACATATGTTCATTAATGAATTGTTTGACAGATATTTACCTTTGTTTTTGATCACTTTGAACTTCTAGGATACTCTGTACTATCTAAGTTTTTATTTTTATTTTTCGTTGCAAAACTCAGCAGAGATAGTCCAATGCTGATTGTTGGCTTTTTATGGTTTGTGAAAAGTTAGTAGTAATAAATAGAAAAATTTTGTGTAATAATTTCTTTTAATTTCATACAAATATCATAAACAATCACATCTTATATCAGTTGAAACAGCAATAACCTATTTATGTTAACTAAAATTTTTGAGAAATGATGTCAAATAAACAATTTTGTTTGATACCTTCATATAACTCAATGCTTATGATAGTATTTATATAGTGTTCAACAACAAATCGAGTTTAAGAACAATTTATATATCATTTTAACTACTTAAGAGTTAGTAATATTCTTTTTTTACCATGTGAATTCGAGATAAATTTTAATTATAGTTAGTCAACATATTGTTGTGAGTATATACATATAAGATCATTTGCTCGAAGCTGATTGTGTGTAGATTCATCAAATCGATTTAATAGTGGATATAGCACGTATTTTATTTTAGTTACAATTAGATTTTTTGTTGATAATACTTTCGAAGAATCTTTATTATATAACATAAGAAATAGTTGAGTTAAACTGATAATATTATGTCAAAATAAAAACTTTTTGTAATTGAAAATACAATATCATTTCAACTGTCGTCTTCACTTGATTTATCGATTAAAGTCATCATGAATTATAACTATCTAAGAAATACGAAATAAAGAACACTTTTTTTATCTTATCATCATCTATAATTGTTTATACAAAACTTTAGATCTTGTTTTCAGAAGACCTTCTGATGACATAAACATACAGCAATAGAATATTATTACAGTACAGAGATATGCAAAACTGAACTTTTTTGGTCTCAATTTCAGTCAAGAGATAGCTGTTCTAGATTTTATTCGTATTAAACTGAAAACAAATCCTTCGATTCTTGGTTTTTTATATTTATTCCATCATCAATTAAAACTTTTTTGAGTTATCTGTCTTGAAGTTTACTCTGATAAATATAACTTCTAAGATGATTAGCTTAAAACCTTGGAATATTTAACAATAACGTTCAGTTTCGGTTAGAATAGTTTTTTCTCTTGGTTCTGACTTCGCACATCTTGACTTTCTTTTTGATTCGATTAATATGATAAAAGAAAAAGAGGAAGATTTGAAAGAATATTTTTAACAGTATATATATACTTCATATAGAAATGCATTATATATATACATATATCAGTGCTTTTTTTTATCTTGTGATGGTTACTTCAGTTTTTTATCATTCAGTTGTCGTATGTGTTGATTGTACTACAAAAGATTTTTTAAATAACTGTTTTTTCTTATTATTTTTCATTGAGAAGTCAATTATTGAATTTATATTTAGTTTTTATATCGATTTATTTGTTTCCTAAACAACAATTTTTTCTACCTACCATGACATATCTACGCACACATGAGAGAAAAATGACACCAAGAAAGAAAAAGAAAAAGAAAGAGAAAAAAGAAAAATATGAGATAGCATCGTTCGGCATTGAGAAAGAAAAAAGAAAAAACAAGAATGACGATTATTGTCATAACTTACCTATTAAACTTAACTCATGATAATGAATACTAAAAATAATCTTGTATTTCTTCGTTTTTGTTTTCTGTAATCAATCATAATAATAAAATAAATGGAAAACGAACAATTCTATCGAGGTCGATTTGATTATGTAGGAGATCGCAAATTAAATTCAGTACGTATATTTATTAGTTCAACATTTTCTGGTAAGTTGCTATGAAACCAGATTTCAATACTATGTGTAATGATTACTATTCTTTGCATTATTGTTAGATACAACTGATGAACGCAATGGACTTATTGAACATGTATATCCTCAATTACGCAAGTATTGTCGTACTAAATATAATATTCAATTTCAAGTAATTTGATGAAAAATATCTTGTTGTGAATGAAAAAGAAACAATCTTGTAATCTCTTACTTATTTTTTATTCTGATGAAAATGCATATTATTAGGTATAGCAAAATTTTTCTGTTGAAAATTTTCTTGACAAATAATTATTTAATGAATGATATATACTTCTCATATAAATCGTTTCCTTGTTTCAAGTTCTAAGTAGATATTGATAAGATTTGACACTAGTCATTGACAGTGGCGTAACTAGGATTTTTAGATCAATGGACAAACTTCTATTGTGTCGAAAAAACGATAGGCAAGTGTTTTATTGATAGGACAAAAATTGTTTGGGGCTAACAAAGTACTGATAGGTTTAGACACATATAAAGTCATCAGATTTTGAACTCCTTCCTTCATGTCATCACTTGTCATTTTTTCGTCTCCCCAAATACAAAAACAATTTCCAGAAGTAACTTGTGCAAATTTCCCAACTATTCAAAACTGATGACCGGGGGAGTAGCTTCGCGAGGGTCCCCGTATCTCTTCTTAGAGCCCACCTAAATTTCAAAAATTTCCTATCCCACTTGGCTGCCCCTAAAAGGTAAAATTTCAATGGGCAAAAAAGTTACTAATAAAAATTACAATGAGCAATTGCCCATTCCTACCTCCCCTCACCCTTTGGCTACGCCATTGGCCATTAAACTTCACGTCAAATACACTTACGGAATTATCTATAAGCATTTATAAACAATCCCAATGGTCTATCTTTTTTTTTTATGCAGTATTTGAATTTATTCCAACTGATTCTTTCTTCAAAACTTTATTTGGGGTTCACGTGAGAAGATAAATCAAACTTCAATAAACTTTTTCAAAAAATCAGCTTAATTTTGTCGTAGATGGAATTTGCAGTATACTTGTTTTGAAGATAATTAACCCAATATCACTGTTCGCAAAATGTGATTTGCTATCTAAGTAAAAGAATTCGTGTAATACAATCATTGATTAAATCTTTCGAGAATTGTTTAACTATGTATGATGTTTTTTCTAAAAATTAAAGATTTCTTTATATAAAATAATGTATTACTATAAAACTTATATAAAAAATAAATCCTATTTATTGAATCGCATAACGTTTAGTCTATAAATTATTTATTTCATCGTTCTAAATTAAAACTAATAGAAATAAATTTAATAGAGGATTTAGTAAAACTTTTGACATATCAAGTAAGTTACATTCATACGGTCTAAAACGAACGTTGAACTGTAGTGGCAGAAAATTGGATCCACGCCCCATTCTCAATAGCCATGACAGACTCCTTAGTAATATTTCTCCATCATTACAGATTGTAACAGATATAAACTTCAGATCAAAGTTCACTATAGAATAAGTATAATAATTGTCATTTACTTATCTTTCATACTTACTACAATATCTTGCGATTAATTTGTTTCATTTCATAAATAAATTATTTCCCTCTATTACAATACCAACAGTTCCATCATGTTTCACATTTTACCCGCACACTATTTATGCTAACTGCTTGTTTTTCTCTCTCTAGTATTCTGATATGCGTTGGGGTATTCCATCAACAGCATCCACATCTCATTCAATTGTTGACATGTGCCTTCAAGAACTTGATAGTTGTTGTCGATTATCAATGGCTACAAATTGTATAGTAAGTATTATTAAAAAATTATCATAATTCTTTAACAAATTTGTTATTGACAAAGATTCTCTTGAGTCATCGATATGGTAGTCGTCTTGTTCCAGCATGTATATCATTTCGTATATTTCAATTACTTGAAGATAGTCTATCAACAAATATTGAAGAAAAAAATTTTCTATTAGAAATGTATCAATTAGATGAAAATTATCTTGAACAAAAATATTTTCTTCGAACAATTGATGATAATCAACAATGGACATTATTAGAAAATAAATTACAATTAATTTTACGAAAAGCAGCTGATATTTGTTATAAACAAAGAAAAATAACTAAAGATGAACGAAATGAATTTTATATATCAGGTATTTAAGAAAGAAAGAAAAAAAAAACACCATTCAACATATATGTATGTGTATGAATATTTATTTTAGTTACAGCAAAAGAAATTTATCGTGCATTAAAAAATAATATGAATAAATATCGACGAATAATTTTTTTTTATCGAAACATACTTGATATAGAAGAACTTGATTCAAAATATCGTGAAACAGAAAATACAGATGAAATAAAAAAATTATTAGAAAAAATTAATAATTTACTTCATCGATCAATTGATTCATCTGATATTTATACATATAAAGTGAATTTATTATATTCTCTATTTGAAATTAAATATTTTGTATATGTATATATTCATGTAGATTCGATGGAATGATAAAAATAATCGAATAAAATATTTTTCACAATTTTTTGAAGATTGTTATCATGCAATTAAATCACAAATTGATTTTCATATGAAAACATATGAAAATCAACAAAATAATATTTTATATAATCAAATATTAGAACATGCTATTCAATGTAATTTATTAATACAACGATATTTTCCTCGACAAGATATTTTTGAACAAGTAAAATATTTCAATTAATGACGATAACTAAAATATTTATTCATCATAAATTTCTTTTTTCAAGATTAAAAATTATATAATGTCAACAAGCAATTGTCCTTGTATTTTACTTGGAGAATCAGGAACTGGAAAATCATCAATTATGGCTAAAGTTGTCAGAGAAGTAAGAAAAAAAAGATCTAATAATACATTGTATTCTTATAAATCGTTCTGAAGAGAGTCAAAGAGATATTGGCATATCTATCTAAGAAATTAGACGAATGTTTTTGAAATTTAATAACGCTAGAACGAAATATCGAGCAAGCAGAAATTGTTTTTTTGACAGCAGCCTGTACGAGTTATATTTTGCAAGTTTTCAAAAGCTTTATAAAAAGTTTTTGATTTGTTTGGAATTAATTAGTTTTGAACAATAGACTTCGAGAATCAATAGTAACATTTCCTAAACTGTCGAATCATTTGCTATCTACGTGTTCAAGAGCAATAAAGATAATTAATAGAGATGTGTAAGAGTTTTCTAATGAAACATTTCATTTTATTAAGATTCAATTACTTATTAATTGTTCATATCGTAAACTGAATATCTATTTAATCCTTAGAACTATTCAAAGATTACTCATACTATTTAATGAAAAATCAGTTATGTATTTGTTTTAAACCTTTCGTAGTAGAAAAGCTATTTGATTCCAACCAGTATTTAAAGACTTCTCGAACTATTAATTGAATATTAGTAGCTATTTAATAAATAATCAGCTATGTATTTATTTTTCAATCTTTCTAAATGAATAGCTATTTCATTTCAAGTACTATTCAATGAATAAACCTACCTATGTCATAAATATTCTTTGTTATTTAATAATCACTTAGCTATTTATTTGTCTTAATTGTTTTGTTGCGAGCAAGGAGCAACGAAATCGAAAATACTTCGACAAATGATTATTTAATCTTTGGTGCTATTTTTTAACTGTCCATAGCTATTTGAATATGACTTAACTACTTATTTATTGTGATTGTTCTTCATGAGTAAAGAAGAGAAAGATGAGATGTACATAGATGAATAAGAAAATAGAATATCATGGAAATGTTCTAAAATTTGAATTGAGAATTGCTAAAATTAAGAATCCAATGTTTAAATTCGGTTGAAAGAAGATAATTTTAGTGATGTTTCTAAAATGATATTTTAGTGACAATTGAATAATATGATATGAGAATATTAAAAGTACAAAACCAAAAATGGTGTACAAAAATATACTTGTTATTATTATCTTTCAACAACAATCATTAATTTAGATGTAATTAGCGCTTTATTTATATAAAATGTACACTTTTGATAATCATTGTTTAGAAAACAATAAATTGATAATAGTCAGTCAAGTATAATGTAGTAAAATTTATCAGAAATGTACTAGACGGTGACACAATATGAAAATCTAAGATGTATCAAATGAGCTTTTTAAATCAGTTGGTAGTTGCATATTATTTTAAAAAATATCTCTGTTAAAAAGCTACAGCTGAAATTTTTTACAACACCATTATATAAACCTCGATGTCACATATGTTTTCTGCAATGTTTTTATGTTGACATGAAACTATACTGATAACTTCTGTTTTAGTAGAATTGCAAATATACTACAGAAATATTTTTTTCTCTTATATTAAATGATTGCATAAATTAATAGATTCCAATTTGGTATTCAGCAACGAATTCTTTATCTGTTATTATACGTTTTTTGGGTGCAACTCCATCTTCAAGTGACATTCGTCGTCCATTGATATCAATTATTGAACAGATTTGTACAATTTATCATTTGGATAAACCATCAAATGTAGATAATGTAAAAGAAAATCTTGAAAATATTTTAATGCATATTCCAAAAGATCAATATCTTATTCTTCTTCTTGATGCAATCGATCAACTTCAATCTGTTGATTTAAAAAATTTATCAATATGGTTACCAACAAAATTTCCATCGGCTAATATTAAATGTATAATTTCAACTATTTCAGAAATCGAAATCGAAAGAACAACAATTGATATTCGTCAACAATTACGAA